GCTAATGTTCATAAAAATTTCTGAAGTTCGCGGATCTCCCCTTAAGCTCCATAGATTTCTATGAAGTTCTCGAAATGTCCTTCTGTGATGTTTTTTTCTAAATTTCTGGAACTTTTGTACTCCCGCAATTTTCATGGAATTAGAACAAAATAATTATTTTAGTTCTATGAGTTTCACTAAAGTTCTCAAGGTTTTTTTGCAGTTCATGAAACTTCCCTTAAATTATCGACACTAATTTAAAACTTCTTCAATAGTCTAGCCTTTCCTGGTGGTATTGAAACTGCCTAAACGATTATTGAATTTCCTTAAAGTTCTCTAGACTGTCCTGAATTTTCAGTATTTTTAAGCACCCGCAACTTTACTGAAATTAAATGATTTGCCTTGAAGTTTCGACAATTTTCCTTAAGTATTATAACCATTATAAACGCTCACTAATTTTCCTTGAACTTATCTATGCTTACCTGAAGTTCTCTAAATTTTTTTAACAATCCGGCAAATTTACTGATATATATTCATAGTTCCCTGACGCTTCTGACGTTTTCTGATCAATCATAGAATTCTTCAAATTCCCCATAGTTTCACGGAGCTCCTTGTAAGTCGCGGCAATATTGCTTAAGTTAATGGGATTATTCTGATCGTCCTTAAAGTACTCGGAACATTGCTAAAACTATCTAAAAATATCAAAATTTATGAAAAGTTCTCTGGATTTTTTGAATATATCACTGATTGCTAAAAGTTCTCGCATTTTTTTTAAATAAATAGAACTTCGCTGATTTTCTACAATCAATTTAGCTAAATTTTCGCATTTTTTTAAGTTCACGTTTTCCGAAGGTCCGTATAATTTTTATCACGTTCCATACAATCTGTCGGAGCTTTGCTTCGAGTTTTTCGCAACTTTACAATTTCCTTGAAATTAATTGAACTGCCCTTTGATTCTCTGATCTATCTTGATGTTCTTGAAGCTTTCCTCCAGCTCTCAATTCTATCGAAGATCTCGATTCTGCTGCTCGGAAATAAATGGAATTCCCGTAAACACATTTAAATTTCCCTGAAATTCTCTGGACTTCTGTGAACTTCCTGAAATATTTCTGAAGTTTTCAATTCTCTGAAAGTCTCTGTACTTTCCTGGAATTTTCGGAACATCTTAAGGGTTCTCGATTATATTTTTTTTCAGCACATCATAGAACTATCTTGACTTTTTTCTAAATTTACGATTGTAGATCTTTAAACTGCTCCAAAATTCTGGACTAAAGCTATGGAAACTGCTCTTAAGATCTGAAATTCTCCAATCTCATGATCTAACTTCTCTGAAGTACTTAGAACTTGTTAAAAATTTGCACAATATCCCTCATGTTTTCTAAATTTCGCAAGATCGCTTGACACCTGTGAAGTTCTCTGAAATTCTAGGAACTTTATAATATTTCCTGAAAATTTTCGGATGCTAAAAGAACCGCTTTGAGGTTCTTAAATCTTCCAGAAAGTTCCCCATATTTTCAGCGTATTAACTTCCCTTACGCTCGCGCAGGTTGTTTATGGACCTTCAATGAAATTCTCAGCATTTCTTTTCATTACTCAGAACTCCTCCAAAGTTCCTACAATTGTTGTGGAGTTAATGGGACTGCATTGAAAATCTCTAATCTTTCATAAAATTAATTACGAATTTGGTATAAATCATTTACTTTCTTCAGAAACTTTAGGATATTGAATAATTTTAGATCTTGGCCTTACTCAAATTAAGTAAGTTTTTTTTTAACTGGAGTGAGAAATTAAGTAAATGTTAAAATTCAACATTCAATGTAAAATTGATTGCCATGTCTTAAAATCGTTTGGGTAAATTCGAAGACAACATATAAATAAGACTGGCAACTCTTCCATTTTCTCATACTACCGCTATGAGACCGACACAATCGCATCATCTGTCGCGCAAAGGTAAATGCTTCGAACGAATTTGATAGCATAGATTGCAACCTCAGAAGAAAGGTTTGTGTATTTGCTCATTTTTCTATGCAGTACTTCCACCTTCGCTCGAGCGCAGCGCTACTATAACTGTCGCTTGGATTCTGGCAGAGTTACCAGTCTTCTTGATTTGATGTCTTCGGTAAATTGCTGTTGTTTTTGATATACCAATAAAAAAAAAGTATATTTTTACGCATTTAAAAAATAGCTTTCTTATTATAAACCTGGAATTTATCCGTTAAAGTACTGGAAAAACCTGGAAAACTCAGGTAATTTTATTTGAGTAGACACCCTCTAGATAAAAAAAGACGATTAAACGTCAAAAAGCAAAGAATGATCAATCTTGAAATAAATTCACGCTAAAAAAGTCGAAAATAGTGACTGATTACAAGAAAAAGAGACATTAGTGACTTGGCCTTAAAAACGAGACTTTTTAGTGACTGGCTTGAAAAAAGTGACCAAGTCACTAAAAAGTGACTCACTACCAGCCCAGTAATCTATTTAGATAAGTTTTTATTGAAACATTTTAAATCAAATTCGGTCAGTTGAAGGTACATTTCAAAAGCAAACATTGGTCCATATTAAGTTAAAAGTTTGTTAATACGGAATAAGTTTTTAATTTTTTTTTTTTTCAATTTTGTTGAAAATCTACATAACGTTATGCAATGATGTTTTCACCAATTTATCCCAAATATGTATGCAACTTCCCTCTACTGAACAAATAGCCGATGAAAATATCGACTGCTTTTGACATTTTTCATTGAATTCACCCTGTCAAAAGGTAGGCTTGGGTAGAAGAGGGTTAATTGCTAAGTATATTAGACCAAATAGTTCGCTCATAATGTCTCCGTGACGTACAGACAAAACAGTGCAGACATAAAGAAAAAAAGTTCAGAAACTGAAATCAGTCAGGCTTAGTAGTTCTATAAATAAATAATATAGATGCAATAGGCTTCTGATAACTTATTTTAAAACTGAAGTGTGAGCTAAATGCAAGTTAATAAAGAATTTACACATTTAATATTGAAACTAAGCTATTGATACGCTTTTGGCTGGTTAAAATTACCCAAACCAGGTGTTTAAAAGTTGAATAAAGGTTTAAAGGGTAAGTACCGTCAAATAGCCAGTCGGAGTAAGTACTATAACTTTTGCGGAATAGTGTGGCTACTAGATATATACCAGAAACGAACAAAAGAGAACTCTTTTGTTCATGTCCGGTGCATATGTAATGTAGTATTTTCGCACTATTTCGAAAGAGTAATAGAACTTACTTAAAAAACACTGTGAATGGAGCTCTCACGGTGATTGGCTACTTGACGGTACAACAGTTACACAAACTAATGCAGGATTGAATTCGTTCAAACAACATTTATTCAGCATGTAATTGTTCGCTGGGACAGATTATATATTTGAGAAAATAAAGGAGGTTTAGGTTTTTAGATGCCACTCACTATTATAATACATTATGTTAAATTATGATAAAATCATAAAATTCCCCCGATAACCATTTTGCGTTCAACGGATTCCTGTTTAGGAAACCCAAAGCTTAACTTTCACAAAGAAAAACATGAGATACATGCATGTAATTTAATATATAAATTCACTTCAGGCATAACGTCGGACAAATGGAGTAAACAGTGGGCTTGAATAATAGCCTAATAACTCTGCATATGAGGTGGCATGGGTGGTTGAGTTTATTTTTTTCTTTGATTTGTTTTCCGTCGATATTGTTTTCCGTACTGAGTACCAATGCTACCGACGCCAGCAAGACAGCTCTCACACCTGCACCCTACCTATCAACTCATAGTCCGTTGACCAACGGCTTTACTTTCCATCCGAAGGAAGGCGTAATCAGAGATTTTATGCCTCAGAAAATCCCGGCGGCACCGACTGGGATTGAAGCCAGACCTCTTGGGGTGAGAGGCAATCACCCTTACCACTATACCACCCGCGCCACTGGGTGGTTGAGTTGTAAGCATGACACTGACATACTTTCTCACCCTAAGTCACTAAGTTTGAGTCCAATCCCATCCGAGGTCGTTGGGATTTTCTCAGGCAAAGAATCTCTGGTTACGGCCTTCGGAAGGGAAGTAGACACGTTGATCCCGGCCCATGATGGGTTCGATATGTAGGGTCCAGGCTGAGTCTCCTCCCTGGCGTCAGATACCGACGAAAAATAACCACGGAAAAGCTCTCTATACAGCTAACTTAATTTGAATAAGTCGGTACACATGTTTTTATTTCGAGACGTGACTCTGCGTTCTATCCTTTTGCAGGAAATCAACAAAATCTTCATCAATCTTCTTTCTATCTACTCATCGCACGCACATCTAACGACAGCAAAACAAAATCTTATCATGTATTGTTGAAACTGACATCGAATTATACACAATGAATCAACAGTATCGGATTGTCACTGTTAAATTGGTTTCAATAGCGCAGAGAAGACGGAAAACGTTATCCGACATCACCAATTTCTACCATCTTCATCATGATCATTTAAGATTCTAAATATTACTTAAAATATGCAAGACGTAAATCAAGAAGACTGACTCCCAAGCATGTTCTAACCTCAAATAACTTCATACGTCAAGGTCTACAAGAACCACGTCATTCAATCGTCTGTCGCGTCCAACCGTAAACCATATGTTGCTCATGGCTATGGTCTTATGTTTACATTTCGACTGTGCAGCAAAAGGTAAATACCGAAGTATCAGCTCAAAATTTCATTGGGAGATAAGCAATCTTTTTTTATAGATGCTTTCCATCCATTCATGCGTTCGCGTCGTTTCCATCGTTGCTTTGCTTGTCCATCAAAAATAATCAACTGAGAGGTTTATTATAACCAACTAGTGACGAAATTACCACCCAGTAACTACGCCAAACCGGTCCTCGTTCGTCGTTTGTTTTTTGCTGATAGTTTTCATCAACAGCTCATTACGCTTTAGCCTGCAAACGGCCCAATATGCATACATATATCGATGTATGAAGTTGACAAGCAACATGTGGTAGTAATTAAAAACAAATTAGCAGTGATCACTTACATTCATAGTGCTCTTTGAAGTCACCGTCGTAATCTACTTCCCCGTCCTGTGCGGGAGCCCTGCTCAAATCTCGCTGCTCGTGTTCGTACCCATCGTCCTCATTCTGGACCATGTCCCTGCCCATATCAGCTACGTCGTTATCCATTGTTGTCGCTACCTTCTGGTCGAGACGTTCCATATTCAGCAACTTTGATTAACACTAACGATCATTTATTCTTCACGTCACCTTACTCGTTTCAATAGCACTGTTGGAAATTCAAATCACACTCTTCGATAACGAAAACGGGTTTCGGCAAACCACATTTGCCAATCACTCACCCGAAACCTTATCTAGATATGGCACCGTAGTTGTCGAAAAATCACGTTCACTCACTGCTCCATTTTCTCTTCGAATCGCTTCCAGGCACGCTGGGGACCTCGTAAAAATAATACAGCATTTAATAAATTGTATCACTCTCATTCAACGAAAAACAGCTCTCGCAGCACACTCTGCCCTACGATTTTTATCACTCGAAATCAACCGGCACATTCTGGATTCCGTCACGTTCGTTCGCCCCAGATCTGGCACGAATCGCAAATCACATCATTCTGGATCTGACTGAATCCAGTTGAAAACTTGATCCATACGGTTTTTTGTTTGTTTTAAATCTCCCAGGTTATGATAGCACCGCGCACTGATGAACACACTCGAGGAACTGACGGACGACCTCGCAGGAGCAACTTCAATCAATCCTCCGCGCGATGACGACAACATTCGACGACGACTACGACGACGACCGCAGTACGCGAGTTACAACAGGTCCTCAACATCATCATCATCATCATGCCATAGTCGGAGTCAACCGTCCATAATAGTGCACGACAACGATGACAACGACGACGGAAAACAGGCAGGTAGGTAGGAAGGTAGGAAGGCACAAATCGATCGAAACTCACTCACTCAAGCACGCGGTTGTTGCTGGAAAGAGAAAAGAAGAAAAAACCCAAAGTCTCCGGTGAGAATGATATCATCACGTATCAGTATGCATTAGTACATACAGTCAGGTCTCGTTTTAGGTGATTTGAACTTCAGAACTTGAGTTACACAGCACAGCTTAGCGCGGGATCCAAACAGATGGTATTGTTGGCGAGGAATGAGACCCGCGAATCATCATAAACCGAGACCTGACTGTAGGAGGAAAAAGTGTAGTGTAGCAGCGCACTTCAGAATCGATCGACCGGGATGTAACTTGTGGTCAGCACCGGTTTGAGAAACTTCATCATGTCGAAAAAGGTGCGTCCCGGGATCCTATATAGCCACAAAAGCAACAACAGGTTGCGGAACACGTCGCGTCACATCAGCATGGAGCGAAAATACAGTAATGATTTTTACTACGCGGTCACTTAGTACTTTATTTGAGGAATTAAACTAATAGAAAGATCCAAGGTCCATAATGGTTGTGGTGTATTTGTAAAAGTAGATACGCCTTTGAGTTCTTTTTATTTCATATGGGGAAAATGGTCTTTGTGACATTAAATCAATGAAGTGCTTCATAAACTTTGGAAAAATGCTCCTTTACTGCAAAGCTGCTCCGATTTACTATACTGCCTATTTTTTTTTGTCAGAGGAGTGAAGCAACGGGCATGCTTCTAGTATCAGTTTCTAAAAAAAGATTCCAAATAAAAAGCTTCTAGAAGAAGCTTCCAGATGAAGCTTCTTAAGAAGATTCTAAAGGAAACTTATTTTGGAAGCTCATTATAGACGCATACCCGTGCTCCGCTCCTCTGACTAAAGGAGTAAAGGAGCATTTTTCCAAGGTTTTTTGAGCATTTCATCGTTTTAATATTCCGTTTCTATGGATGCCTGGATAGTTTTAGTCCAACTGCAGACAGCAATTTCCAATCGCGTTTAAGGAATCCATGAAGAACGAATCAACGCAGAATGAATCTGCACTGTATGACCCCAATGGTGTGAGATGTTTGGATAGGTAATTTGATGAAAATCAGCTGATCTTAGTAAACAATGAATAATTAACTCGTATCTTCGGCACATATCGTTGCCTCGCTACACCATCAAGCAGTCTGCAGAGTCAAGAGAAGACGTACGCTTGGCGGTTGAAACGTATTTGCGTCAAGTTCGATTTGGCACGTAGGTACATTGGAATCTTCAAATTTATCTTTATTACCTTGAAACATTTCCTTATGGTAGATTTCCATACAAACAGATAGACAAAAAAAATCCATATTTTTTCCGCATTTTCTGGAATTTTTCTTGCTTAGTCTGATCAATATACGATGTTAGTCAATATTTTTCATCATTTCACGTCCAACTTTTCAAATGGGCGTAACTTTTTGTTGTTTTAAGTGTAATGATAATATTTTGAAATCGGTACAGCTTCAAGTTTGAATTCAAAGAATAAAATCTTGAAGATAATTCGAACTTTAAAGCAAATATAATTTACAATTATGCACGGTCACCGGAATTTTAAACCAATAATTTTATAATCTGAGATAGAGCCTCTATATGTCTTTGCAATCTGCATCTATTTTTCCGGGTTTATTGGCTCTTGGCAGTTAATAGTAATTCAAATATTTTGAATTCTCACAACTAATTCTTCGTCGATGTTCAGCACGGAGATGAGGATTTCCGAATGCTCGTCGACAAACGTTTCCTATAGTACTGGTACCTGTTCCACCTGATCTTGGCTGGTCTACTCTTATTCGAAATACTTGTAAAGCTGTGTCATATAGTTCTTTTAATGGTCTTGTAACCTTCCATTTCGTTAGATCCATTCTGTACGCAATATGCAAAACGAAATCAAAAAATCGTATCCAAGCATGAAGCGGAGATATACCGTAATCCAGTGCCTCTTCGTTTAATGTAAATCCTTCTTCAAAGTTTCTATATCATTCATTATGTTTGGAGTTACTCCACAGATTGAACATGCCCCAGGTACACAGAAGAACCAGTTCTGTAGAATCCAGATGCATGCATGAGCATGAGCATGATCGACCACCCGAGGATGCAACTCCGTTATTTCCAGAGCAGCTGTAATTACACAGAGAACCAATAAACGTTGCTTGGGACTAGCAATCATCCATAATGTGTAAATGCTGACGATCTAAAACCAGGCAATACCAGCGCCGGCCACGTTCGAATACTGGTCAAGAAAGGAATGGGTAGGAATATGTTGACGTAATACTCGCTTGAATCAAAGCCGAAAAGAAGCTGTCAACTGCTGGAAACTGACTGCCTTCCGGATCATAGCAGCGGTTTCATTCGGCGAAAGGGTCAACTGTTCCAAAAAATCCTAGCAAGCGCACATTAACTTTCTCGCATCATACAGGAAAAGGGAAACTTTTTGGGAACGATTGAGCTTCCACCTGTTCCATGTTATGCAGATACACTTCCTGATTAACTGCTTCCAATGGATGATAATCACTCGCACAACAAAACTATCGAAATATAAACAAATTTTGACGTTTAACTTTTTTCCAGGCACCATTAGTGCCGTCATAAAACTAAACGGAATAGGATCAAGCAAAATGGCCTCAGATAAATACAATTCAGTCTGCAAATTATCTTCATTAAAGCCAAATTAAAAAGTGTGGTAGGGGAATTTACGTATTCTCGGCAACCTAAGCAGCGACCTTCTTTCTATAGCCTTTTTCTCTAAGGAACGCACACATATGCAGTATTGGTTTGTTTACAATCTTTTGCTGCCAGCTGCTCTAACAATTTCAGTCGAAAGAATTGTCAAAAACTGTTTTGAAACGCTTTTACAAAGCTCCAATCTTCTCTAGTGAGAGCGAGTATTGTCGGCAACCAGTTTTTCTTCGGCAACCGTTCCATTTGAACTGCATGTAAATCTGCTGTTCTATTATCGGCAACTCGAAATCAGCTACAATTTGTAGTGCGTGTGTTGCATTTCAAGAAAACCTTGCTAGATTGCTTTTTCTCAGTGGTAAAAATATAGTCAAATTGAAGCTGAAAGCATAAAGAATCGTTTGCATGCATTCAGCGAAGTGTTTTCGTAAGAAAATCAAGTGAAAATAGTGTTACAGTTAGGGTTGCCGAAAATAGTCTGTCATGCCGAAGCCATCATTTCCCCTATTTGTTAGCGATTTCATGAGAGCAAAATAGCTTTTTCACAATTCATGCCACCGCCATATTATTACCTTTATTTTTTTACTATCTTCGTTTTTCAAGATGATTTTCCATGAAAATAACTTTAATCTCATAAATTCGTCAATGAGCAGTAATACAGATTTCGAAAATCATTAAATTGTTTCGGATGGGAGCAATGATTAACATAACACATAACTTTATTTTGTTTCCTAAATTAAAATTAACTAGTCAACATTTGATTTGATTTAATCAACGTTTTCCACTGGCGGACTTATTTTTTCGATCTTCCGAAGCATATGTCGTGATTTCTGTGATTTTCGCCATTTGGAAATGGACCATAATCCCTGCGCAGCATTTTTTTTAGCACAAAACTTCACCTTTCAAGATCGTTTTCAAAACTGTCACAGGGTTGTCCTTTTACCCAAGTTCACACACTAAATGAAAACTATTTCAATGAACTCTCAAAGCAAACCAAAGTTATTTTACTTTACTAACCCAGTTCCATCCATTCTCTACAGCATATTTCACATTGGATTTAATCTGTCACCTAAAAATATACCACAAAATGAGAACTGCTTTGATAATTTTGGTAATTCTTCCACAATAGATGAGAAGAATTTTGAAAGATTCATTTTTGAACAATGAATTTGGCAAGATCTGATGATATTTATGTATTCCTTTTTATCTTGATTCATGCTTTATTTTCAGTGCGATTAGCAAGCATCAAAGGCAAATGGCACAAGCAGGGATGGAAAATCATTAACATTCATTTCGTGCATTCATTTACATTCATTTACCTCTAACTTTTTCCATCAACAGAATACCGTAAAATGATGTATAAAGCTTTTGTAGCTTATAATATTAACTACAACTTTTGTTGATAATCAAAATCTGAATCTCTTATACATGACGAACTAGAGCTGGCAGAACATGCCATTGTTTTCCAGTGAATGCAATTTACATTCACTGAAAAACAATGGTGGGTTCTTATCGTTCTGATTCATCATGCGTAAGAGATACTGATTTGAGTTATTTCAAAAGATGTAGCTAATATCAAAGCCTACAAAAGCTTTACACACTACTTTACGGAATTCTGTTGATAAAAAAAAAGTTAGAGGCAAATTAATGTAAATATGCCAATGTATTGATGCCAAATGGCTTTGATTGTAGTTTTAATAAGGATTTCAAATGGTTTTCAATACTTTCGCCGTATAACCTTTTTTGCAGCAAATCAATCTTGAAGTGCGTGGAAAATATGCCCTTGACAACCTTCTTCGGGGTAGGCGAACTAGACAGATTCTAGTCTTAATGAGGTTTTGGTGGATGCAATAAAGGCAAAGCTGTCTTGACCAGGGTTTTATGAATGTTGTTTTATAGTAGCCTTGTAGTATTTCATAAAACGTAAAATTTTACTTGGGTAGTGACACTCGTCTCTTTTGAAAATTCTCAGTCAAACTGCTTTCAGGAATACTGCTGGGGAGTAAACATTTATTCCTATTTAAATAAGGATCATTACCGTTACTAGGGATAGGCAAGTAAATGTTGATGTAGTGCTTATTTAACCCGTAAAGTACCAGGACGATAATTTTTTTTTAAATGCGCGTTATCAGTAATGTTACAACCGATTTTCATAAACTTGGACTGTTATTGAAGAGGAATAGTGCATCTAACTTTTGACATAGAATACGCCTCCTCGCGTTTGAGAAATGCAAATATGTTTGTGTTTTTTCGTTTTTTTTCCACAAGTATGGCCAAATGCTGTTTGTTGTGTGACGAATTGATTATCTGAATGGAATGAATTTGGATGTTTCTACGAAATCTGGCCGCGTTATTATCGATTCCAGGTGTTA